TTTCAACAAGTAACTATTGTAAAGACTATCCTGGAAGCCAAAACTAGTACCAACGTCATTAACAGGGGAGATAATGTAAGTATTAACCATGGCCTTAAAGGATTTTTTTTTAAATTTGTATGTGTATTGAGGACATTGATCTGTGGTTCTTGTTTTGTCATTTGTTTGTGGCATCTGAATTGCTTCCTGATTAGCAAATAGGAAAATGTTATTTTACCATTATTGTGATATAATGTACATATTTGATCGATGACTTATTCTTCAGATGGAAAGAACAGCTCTACATTATGCTGGTGGCTGTCATGACGCTGGTCATCTCTATTCATTGTTAAAAGAAGCTGGAGCAGATGAACTTAACAAAGACTTGGTAAGTAATCTTGGTAGGGAGGATTATTCTCTTAATCCTGATTTTCACATCAACTTCCAGAAACATTCAAAGATGTATTTTGAACCATGATATCCAGATATCAAATCAATTTGTGTGTAAATTTCATCAACAGACCTTGTCTTGGTAAAGCTTCTTAAAATTAACCAATTTCTCACTCCAGAGAGGTAAAACTCCATCAGAATATTACGAGACGCCACTAGACCTGTCAGTTGTAGAGGTACAAAAACGTGTTATGGAGATACTGGGTATTGACGAGGCAGGACCAACACCACCTGACACCAATACAGAATCTACTACTGACACCAGCAAAACAGGTGAAAACTCTAAAAAACACTAAATTTTGGGTTGAATTCTACAGGATGGTCCACTACAGTCAGCTTTAGGATTGGTTGTTTAAAATTAAGAAGGAATGTCCTAGAGAAAACATACCAAATTTTCTGACTCCATATTAAACCACAACCTTCAACAAAACTACCAAGAGACAAGGGTCTAGCTAGTCGAGAACTGTCAACAATATCAGAGGCTACATAAGAGCTAAAAGTTGTATTATTAAACATTCACAATTAATTAAATTTTTTTTTTGGTTGGCAGAAACAGAAGCTGAAGTGAAACCAGCGACTCCCCAGTCACCTGGTCCCAGAAAGCCTGTTCAGATGTACATATCTTCTGACATCTATGAAAAGAAGGACATCCCCCCACCTGTCACTGTAGATGGACGTTATATAGCTCGACATCTAGGCACTGCCCTCACTGCAGCCCTGGCAGAGATTGCTGAATATCGTCCATATGATGCCATAGAATATCTTGCCAACTGGTTATATAAATATCGTAAAAATCTGGACTTTAATAAATCAGTAAGTAAAAAGGCCGACAAAACATCTTATAGCATATCAAACTTAAAATATATCATTGTGCTCTGGACTCTTTCAAACAGAAGCAAAGTTGGCATATTTTGTCACGCTAGTGCAGTCAGTTTAAATTTATACCCTTTACACACATTTAACAAAAATTGTAAGGTCCTTTTCGCTGTGGGTTGTGCTTGTTTTGTCTTGGGTCTGTTTTAACTCTAATGGACCATTTCAACCTTTCAGCAAGAAGATTTGTTGAAAGATATTCGAAGAGAGGAAAGTGTTGTGGATGCCGAAGAGGTGGAACGACAAAAACGTCTTGAAGAAGAGCAGAAGATCAGAGAAGAGGAAGAACGACTGAGAAAGGTTGAAGAAGAGGAAGAGGAAAGGAAGAAGAAAGAGCAGGAAGACATGTTAAGGAAGTATGTAGCCATCAGGATTGTTGATTTGGCTGCAGTTGCTGGTTATGACTGACCAGTGATGTGATTTGGTTGTGATACATAATGGTTTTTAGCTATGAACCTATCCATCAACTTTCAAACTGGTGCTTGCTAAATCCATATTCTACAATTCAACTTGGCATGTTTTTTACATTTTCAAAACATTTCTTTACAGGGCAAAAGATGCTGCCATCTCCAAACCATTGCCAACAGTAACAGAAGAAGCAGAAGAAGACAACCAATACAAGGACAGGGATGAAAATGGTCAAACAGAACTCCATAAACTGGCAGCACAAGAAGGTGCAGATTTAGTAGCACTGTTTAATTTAGGCTACAGCCTCGCAGATAGAGACGGGAATAACCAGACACCACGAGATATTGCTGAGGATAATGATATTCAAGAGAATGTTGATGCTATGGGTAAGTGATGTACTGCCATAAACATTAATAGCTTTAGAAATTTAAATCATGGAAAAAATTACACAATAAAATGGGGTAGGACAAACAAACTGTCCTGAAAAATTTGAATGTTAAATTTGCAAATTTGTTCAATTTGTTATAATGTATACCACTCAGCTTGTCATTTATAATCATTTAATTGTATTCAAACCAGACATCTGATTTTTATCGTTTTAAAGTTATATATATAAAGAGGGCTATTTTCAGACAACACCCATTAAATCCAATCCCTTGACAATTATTAATGATCCTACAGCAACATGAATATCACCAAAGTGTCGGTGGAATAGCTCAGTCAGTAGCAAGTTGGATTGTTGTCTGCTACTGCTAGAGGATTAGATGCCACAGTCAGTGCTTTCACGAGTCACCTGAGTGTTAGCTTCCATTTCCTATGAATGAAGGCCATAACAATAATAGAGTTATCCCTCTTTTCCAGATTCCTATATAACAAATATGATTGAACAGGAGAAGTTAGATTCCTTACAGCAGCTATTATTGGATGGTTATGATAAATTGGACGTTGTCTTGTCACAAGTCAGTACTGATGGCCTTCCTGAAGAGGTCACAGACTTCCTGAAAGCTGTTCCAGACTTCCAGGTGAAACTCTTTCTGGATGATTGTTTGAACATGCCATGTGGAAGTGGGATAGCTCAGTTAATAACAAGTTGGTTGTTGTCGATAGGCCATTAGCTACATTAAGAAGGGCCATGCAAGAGTTAAATTGATCACTGTCTGCTAGGAGTTTTAAGATAAACAAGGATATATTTTTTAGTTATATTTCAAAAGTATCTCAACCCTGACGAATAAGACAAATAAACTTACACTTTATGTCAAATTGTCAAAACTGTCAAGGAATCCTTGCCCAAAGCATGTCAGGCATATCAAAGATAACAATATAGATTTCTGAATTTCAGGGTAAAATACAGAGAGTTTTTACAGCAGTGGAGAGTGGAATTGTCCGAGATGTTGCCCAATATTTAGACAGAAAAAACCTTGCCATGGCTAAAGACAAACATGGTCGCAGTCCACTCCATCTAGCAGTTCTCTTAGAGTATAAAGACATCGTAGAATATATCATCAAACACTACCCACAGGCTGTGAAAGCTAGAGATAATGTAAGTACAAAAATGAAGAAATAAACAATAAACATTTAATCCTTGCCCAAACCTATTGAAAATGATTTTACAAGGATAACAATTTAGAATCTCAAGAATTCTGGCGACTAACTGGTCCATCGGTAAGCCACTTGACAATGATTTTACAAGGATAACAGCCAAGGATCACAAGGATCCTATCTGAGCCTGTCGAAAATAATTTTAACAGGATAACAAATCAATAGTGTGGGATAATGCAAAAATAAAAGATTTGTGTTTGTTTGATCTATTTAGTTGAATCGAACACCTCTACACTATGCCTCTAGTTTATCAGAAGAACTTGTCAATATCTTAACAACAGTCTCGAATATTGATAAGGAAGCCAAAGATGTGGTAAGACCTTGACCTTTTCTTATATTTACCCCTAAATAACCATGACCCTTTAAAATAATATTTGAACCCTAAATAACCTAGACCCTTTAAAATAATGTTTGAACCCTTTTGTCTTTGATCTTCTGGATTCATGGGATTTTGACTCTTGTATCATATTGTTAACCTTTTATTAACATGTTTAAATTCAATTATCAAATCATAAAACTGTGCCTTTCTGATGATTTTAGTCTTATAAAGAACCTTGATATAACTTTCACCTGTGACGTTGATCAAAACAAGACCTTAACCTATAACGAATTTCAACATCCATGAACTGACCCATAAATTATGAGCTGAGATCAATGATTATTTATTAACAATTCATCTAAACAATAACAAAAGCTTAACATTTTCCATGAATTTTTCATCAAAAATACTTTTTAACTTTCAGAGGGGAAGAATTCCATCATTCTACATCACTGAAAAATCTGACATCACCAAACTACAAACAGAACTCAAATCAAAAGGGGATAACTCTGATCATACAGAAACAGACGGTCAAACCACTTCTGCTACAGAATAGAAAATCTAGTTGCATCATCACAAAATTTGTATGAACAAACTTCAATAATGCAGTTGACTCTTTTGAACTATTCTCAAAAATATCTGGAAAATTGCTAGATTCTAGAATGAAGAATTGAGCTTTTTCCAAAATCATGGCAGACAATTAACAACATCTTTACACAAATTGAAAAGTAGTTGGATTTAAGTATGAAAAAATAAGCTTTGTCCAAAATGATGGCAGACAAATTATAAGATTTTGACATTTCATTTTAAAAGAAACAAGAAGTGATTACAAAATCATGATTTCTAATATAAATTGACGTAAAAAACTTATCATAAAAACAATTATTTTTAATATAATATATATATATATTGTTTTCAGCATTCAGTTTATTTTATATTTTGACTCCAAAACAGATCATTTCTGACCATTCAGAATTATATTTGCCAGCATTACGATGATATTCTAGAGAATTTTGTTTTCCTACCTATTTTAGAATAATGTGATATTTTTAAATAAAATATATTTATTGAAGTATTGTTTTTATGAAGTTAATAAATGGTATTTCAAATGATTTGATTGAAGTAAAAAGCAAAGTGAATGACAAGCCATAAGATGTACATGGAGTCAAAAGTAAAGTTCGTAAAAGAGGTAAAAATCAGTGTCAACAACTTTCCTACCTTTCTATAACTTCCCAAAGTAGTAAATATGAGAGAAACCAAAAAGCGAATGGAAATTCAGAACATTGACCCTGAAATCATGAGGGGTTTCGAACGCACCATAACTTACAACTTCAACAGGCCTACTTAAATCCATAAATAGAATATAACTCACCATTTAAGTAGCTGTGACCTGTGTTCTGGGCAGATTTAGGTCGTTTCTTGACATCTTTACACCATTCTTTAAATTTCTCTTCAGCTTTCATTCTTCGTTTATTTTCTTCTTCCTTTTCTTTCTTTTTCTTTAATATCTCTTCTTTTTTCTTCTTTCTATCTTCAACTGCCTTCGTCTTCAGCCATTCTTCATATTTCTTTTCTGCTTTTTCATGAATTTCTGATTCTTTTTTATGCTTGCAGTCCTCTTCGGCCTCTTTTAAACGCTTATCCAATCTCTTTTGAGCACGCTCCCGCTCATTTTTAAATTTCTTCCATCTTTTTATTTCTTCTTCAGCTTTCATTTGTTTTTCTCTTTTCTTTCTTTCTTCATTCATTTTTTCTTCTTCTTTCAAATTCTTCGTTCTCATTTCTAGTTTATGTTTGATTCGTTCCTCCCGAGTTTTTATCAGTAACCATTTTTCCCAGGGAGACAATCCTTTAAATTCTTCATCTTCTATTATGTTTCGTGTACGGGAAGGTGAGGCTGATTTTGATCTTGTGTAAGATGCGTAGATCCTGGAAAGAAAAGAGACTTCTTTATACCACAAGGAGGGGAGCAGTAATTCATGAAAGGTCGTTAAGTGGAATTGCAAGTACCCCAGACAGAAATTGAAATGGTGCGCATCAATCAATCAGAGTCCCTGATACACATAAAAAGTAATCTCATCCTATATTATGATAATCTTACCCACCTGTTTTGTTTTTGTTTTTGATGAAAGTGTTCTGTAGATTCAGTATTGGTGTCATGTGCATACGATTCCAATGGCCCTTCTTCGATTTTCATATCACTTAATTGATGCTGAGTCTCCTCCACATCACTATCCCCCAGGTCCCCCTCTTCACTTGACAAACTCACATAACTATCGTGATCTAACACTGAACACAGGGATTCCGTTGACCCTAGGAAAATAACAAAATATGTTAAGAATCGGAAATCAAAAGGTGTATAGTTTAGCAAAGATGTTGTGCTCAACTATGTCTGATTCAAAATTAAAATAGAATTTATGTTATGAATCAGACACAGAAGAAAATATCTTTGCTAGATCATATTATAAGGTTTATTGTGGTCATCTGAAAGCTTTTCTAGCATCTATACATTGATTTGATGCCAATTTTGAAGAAGAGAAAAATTTGTCATAGCTTCAAATTGGAAAAAAAATTATTTGAATTAGTTCTAACTTTGGATAAAATTAGCTAAGTTTTTTCTTCATTATTCTATAAAGTGAGGCATAACTCAGGGATTCAGATTCAAAATCAAGTCAGGTGACAACTGGGCTAGTGATAGACAATTTCTAGAGACTAGATGATATTTTACAGGGTCTAATTTAATTTCTAAGGACCCAATCAAATTTCTAGGGGCTCATTCAAATTTCTAGGGACCCAATCAAATTTCTAGAGACCTAATCAAATTTCTAGAGACCCGATTTTTACAGGCCCAGTCAAATTTCTAGGGAGGGACCTAATAAAATTTTTACTGACTCAGTCAAACTATTAGGGACACTGTCAAATTTTTGGTTCATTAGTTAAGCAATCTATCCAGGGTTAAAGTTGCCAATTGCAACTGGGCAATTACAAATACCACTCTTACCTGAAGAGTCTAAAGATCTGCGAAGAGGTGAAGAGTTTGATATTTCTAGCCATGTTTGTCTGGTTGTGGTTGCTGTGACCGGTCGTGGTCTACCACTTAAACTCATAAACCTGTATTCACTCATTACACTTCTGTATCATCTATCTAGAAATGAGAATAAAATAAAATAAATCAGCTTCTATAAATCACTGAAAATTTTATTTTTTTCCATTCATCTCTTCAAAACGTTCAACATCTTGACAAACCTCCACTGTGTTTCACTTAATGTAGGTATCGGAAAATCTGGTATTTGGGATTGCGGTAGTAGGCCTAAAGAGTAAGATTTGGACTTAATAGTTAAATACAGTTGTTTTCCTACTGATTACAAAGGGTCTTACCATAGATTACCATATGAAGGCCATCAGTGAATTTGATGGGCTGTTAGGTAGTCATGGTCGAAGTCATGAACTTTAAAAGTGCTTGCCATCAATTAAGTAGTAAGGCCATGAGAATGAAAGTTAAGAAATTTGCATCCAATCGCCCGCAAGACACAAAAGCTACCGCTGAAAATGTTCATTATTTGCTCGAAAAAAGGCAATTCATCAAACAATGCAAGTTTAAAATCATTAACAGTATGGTAGTAAAATTATTGATAATATCCACCAGACCTCGTCGTATGGCAGTAACTGCCTTATTTAGTCCACAAGTTCATCAAAACAAGCTTGTTCATTGGGTAATATGATCACATGGTGTCATTGACTAATATACGCTAATAACAAAAGATGTGACTGAAAGTAGTCAGGTGTTTTGAATGAATCAGCAATAAACAAGTACTCTAAGCACCCAGTTGTTGACCGAGTAACAGTATGACTCTGCGGTAGAATGTTCCTTTAGCAATTGTACGATGATTATTCACATCTAACTGTTGCTTGAACAATCGTTCGTAGATCATCATCGTACTATTGCTATAGGAACATGCTTTGATAGTAAATATATAGGCTTAGGCATGCTAAACCCCATGATCCACTATGATTCATCGATGTAATCATTTATATAGTTTAGTTGTGTGTTTTGTATTATCAATCAGAGGCAGAAGAGTTGGGTACTCAGGATCTTATCTTTATGTGTATCGGTATTGTATGGCCTAATTTTTACCCTTTTGTAATAAAGATATTATTATTATTATTATGATGACATGCTCCATCAACCAGTCTATTCTGAAGATAAACGAACATTAATGGAAGTTGCTCTGAAGCGACTAATGGAACATCGGCTCTTCTTCTATGCCTTTGTCAATTTCCCATCGCTCTCAAATGGATTATTTTTAAGAATGCAGTGGTGTAACCTATTTTCGTGGATATAAGGATCCAACACCGAATTTCGTCACAGTTAAAAAAACGAATTTTTTTTTTTATGTCTTAGATGTTTCCTCAGATATTCTACAAAATACAAAATTGGTTTATTTCGATTTTCTTTATGAATCCTTCACTTTGACCCATATTTCATGAGCAACCATCTCGGCAACGGCGGCAGAATGCGTCACCTATTTTCGTGTACAATGTTTGATCTATAAATAAGTCTAGAAAAACATGTTGTATGGATACCGGGTGGTATAATTAACTTCTCTTAGTATTTATCTTTTATATTAATTCATTATATCTAGTGACAATTCCTTCAAAGACCCACGATTTAAAAAAAAAACATAGTGACTGACAAAATATGATACGTAGCGTGATTTATTGCTAAAAGTCACTGAAACAACATAAGAATATGGTCCACTTTGTGTTCCATAAAAATTTTCTGCCGACAAGGAATCCGCTAGTTGATCACGTGACTTCATTCGTTGGGACTACATTCTTGTAGACGACACTTAGAATTCCGATTACTGCTTGGGATTATAAGGAAATTCGGGCGATAAAAAATGGTGACGTTTGGTAGTAAGTGAAATCCGCCATTTTGTATTTGTCAAAGTACACATTAATACATTTTACCTTGCTTGAAACTACTGGATTCATTCTACTAGCTGATATTGTACAGAAAACCCATGTTTATCAAAACAAACTAATGCGGAGGTCGCACAAGGTCGCTCATGTAAATTATTAATCCTTTCTGGAAATCCACGAATAATAGGTTTCCACGAAATTAGGTTACTTGACTGTATTCAATAACAAAAAAAAACGTGTTCTCAAGACGCAAATCTTTAACTTTCATTCTCATGGATTAACGTAAGAAATTGTTAGATTAGTATCACTATTTAACAACCATGTTTTCTGAATTGAAATATCTTTACAAAAAACTATCGAGAGCCTTGGATTGCCTTTCGGTTGATAAAAATATCAACCACTGGAAAGGTTATTATTTGTAAACAGGTGATTTTACAGAGGGGAATTTTCAACCCGAAAAGTGTCATTTTTACTTGAAGTTTTAGAGAAAAGAGGGGGAAAATGTCAATTGTCTGTAAAGTAGTCTTAGGAACGAACCCTTTCCGACTTCACAGGCCAAGCACTGCGAAAAGTCCAAATAAATGCAATACTCCATTCAAAAGTTCTTTTTTTTTTTGGTTGGGGGATTTGGCACTGGCAGTCTTGGAGTTTACATATTGCGAAAGAGAGAAACGCTTTTGAAGTATTTAAAGCTAACTAAAATAGTTACCTGCAGATTCAAAAGATAATCCTTTATTTAAATCTCAACTGAGTTCCTACAATAACATTTGTATGATTTGTTTACATGTCACAACAAAATTAAAGTATGGCGGCTATTCTTCCGCTAAGGGGAGTAACTCTCATGATTAAAATATTTACAATATAACCTTCACAACCAGACCACCTGCTATTCAGTCCACTTCAGAAAAAAATGATGAGTCACACTCACAGAACTAAAATAGAGTTTTAAGTCCTATTTGGCAACGTCAGTTAGTGTGTGCAATTTGGGAAATTTGTCAGGACCGCTGCATTATCCTGCTATTTTTTGAACTGACTAAAGATTTTAAATGTGCACAGCCTGTAGCATTGCATAGTCAGGGTATAAGACAAAATCTGTAGGCCTCATAGCTTGACTCTGTGAAGATGAATTTGATGCTAAAGCAGCACCCTTAGTAAAACTAAAGACTTTGTATAGGTGTTGCTGCGCTTCAGTTTTTTGTCCTTCACAAAAAGAGTCTGCTTCATTTGTATACTTAGTAAGTCGCTCCTATATGTTTCACAAAAAATATATAAAAAAAAATCACCAAAATAACAAGGGGACTCTCTAAAATGGATGTTCTGGAAAAAAAACTAATACATGAGGTTAACGCAGGTTTTATTGAGTGTAACAGAATTCTAAGCTATAATTCCAAAGGTACAAAATTTAAATTTTCATATCTAAAATATGAGTTATGGACTACACTACTATTCTTGTGCAATGGTTTATGTGCACTTTTCTGAACAACTAAAAATTATCAATTTTTTGGATCATTTGTATCATAACATGATATAAAAGTGTTTATCTCCGTAACTATAAAAAGATCATACATTCCTTAATTAAATACAGTAGATTGTAAAGATTTTTTTTTTAAATTTTTAGTCACAACGGCTTCTCTGTGGTTCTTGAAATTGAATATAAAGGTTATTATATATCAAGAGAAGTTTTTGTGATAACTACTTCATAAATTGTTAAATTTTAGTGAAAGAACCACAGATATCTGATTGAAATTTTGGAATGGTGTAAATTGATTATATTAGTGTTCCATATACACATAATAATTTTTAGAAACCTCTTTACAATCCCTTTTTAACACCCATAATATCATATCGGTCTTACGTTTTTGGCCAGAAAATTGAGGAAACATTCCTCCCTTGGACCCCTGATTTTTGTGGGGTTTTGGAAAAAAGGCTGTTCCTGTCATTTTAGTTGATGTGAAATAGACTCTGACAATGGATACAATAGGCTATATCTGTAAAATAAGGTACCTCATATTGTTATATATGTCAACTGTACAAACAAAAACCTAAAACAACACTCACAATGCTTTCAATCATGTTCAGTAGCATGAGAGTTGTGTTCAAAATTTATGTCAGCTATTCTTATTTGCATCCATACACAACTGATGGTTGCTGTGCTGTGAGGGTAACTTTAAGCTTCAAATGTGAGGAAATTTCTGCATTTGGTGCATATTTGTAGAAAACTTAAAATACAAATATGACTCAATCATTACTGATTAGGTGCTTATTGCAAATCAAAAATTGCTCAAATAGACCAAAAGATGTAAAACTCCATTTATATTCCAATTAAGTTTGTCCCCTATCTATTTGCAAATTATTTTCCAATAAAACTACCTTTTTGTCGCAAGATTTTCTGAAAATAAAACAGACTTTTGAAAATAGCAAAAAATTTTAAAAAATTGATTGTTAATAGATAAACTTAACCTATTATAATCATGTGTACTCTCTAATACAATTGTTCACAACAAATTCACAACAAAAGACAGCATTGCCAGTGATGTTTTTAAAATAAAATCTTATGTTACATGTAGCACTAAAGTGATGCAAGAAGTGACGAGATTTCACAGGGAAAAAACTCAGATGTCACTTTAACTTTCAGCCACACACATTTATACCATACTTAATTATAAAATTTGCTAATTATGCTTTATCAAGGAGAAATTTTTCTCATATTTTTTCTCCGTAAAATCTGAAAAGTATATAGTCATCTAATTTTCCCTAATGAGCAAATTGAGCCCAATTTAAGCTATCCGTGTCATTTTTCAAAATAAAAATCCAATGTCTGGTTCATTTACAGTATCATAATGTAGACTGTCTAAGATTCTACACAGTTATGATCATTCTGCTACATCTATTCCCTATAAGACTAATCACTTTCACAAGGAGGTTTTCATTGTACATGAACCATATTTGAAATTTCAGTCTGAAAATTGTCAGAGGTAACTAAAGATCATAAATGTGGGGCCTTATTCTGGGAAACTTAACTTAGGTGGATATTAGTATTGCAGCCATCTGATTAGTCAATCACTGAAATTGATTTAAAATTAAGTTTTATCCTCCAATCAAATTACTGTATATCTTAAAATCTGTATTAAGTTTTATCCTCCAATCAAATTACTGTATATCTTAAAATCTGTATTAAGTTTTATCCTCCAATCAAATTACTGTATATCTTAAAATCTGTATTAAGTATTCCAGAATAAGGCCCCTGGTAAAAGAACAGTAGCCTTTAAGTAATAAATTTGACTTGTTGCACCAAAACAATAAAGAATGAAAAAAATAATTCAAAATTTAAGACTAAGATTAAGTTTTATTAGAGAAACTTTTCAACCTGAAGCTTTCAATTCATATAAACAACACACCATACTAAATATAGATTAAATATAATAATAATCAAATAATAAACAAAATATCTAAACATAAAAAAGACTGAATGCAGTGGAACAGGTTGAACATGTTTACCATTCAAAGGAATACTACCTCTTAGATAAACATGAAATTCTCAAACTTGGTCAATAACAGTCTTTGTTCATCAGTCTACCTGTTGTCATAACCATACAACAGAATCCAGGTATAATCTGACAAATCCATTAAACATCTTTAAGTATTTTTCAATAATTACTTGTATTTTTTTGGATAATTAGCTGTTTTATGGATATATTATAATTTAGAGACAAAATGTCCCCTTGATGTATTATGTATTCTTCCACACATGCATTTCCTTACTATATACAGTATATTCTTGGAAGAATTCATTAACAGCAATAGGGGTGTTTTCCTGCTTGTCTCACTACATCCAGCCTGGGTTATCTATATACATATATCACTAGCATCAATAATTGGTTCCCAAATTTTAGAATTAACAGCTTATAACAAGCCATCTATATACAAATTCTCTAATAAATGCCAGTCATGTCTGGCTTAAGATGTCTGTTTATGTGTCTTGTGAAATCATTTACTTTTTTTATGTATCAAAGTTTTGATTTGTCCCAGACACACAATTGTGGTTAAATAAAATTCAATTTTTTGAAAATACTTTCAATTTCCATATTTCACGAAATACCACAAAAAGTTAAAATAATTCTATTTAAATATAACAAAGACAATATGGCGATATCACTTTTTTTCACGAAACAGAAAGCCCATTATTATCATAGATAAAAGCTTATATCTTAAACAAGCTTCAAGGCTTTTCAAATAGAAGACCTTTAGGTTATTTACAAGGACATTTCTAAGAAAAAAAAATACTTATATGGAACCTAATAAAGAAAGCGTATTTTATGAGAAATCTATATATTACTATCTAATAAGAAAAGCCCATATCATATCAGAGAAGCCTACATCTAATTGTTGAAAGGAAGTTAATAATTTCATAAAGAAAATCTTAAATTTGATATAAAGGATACTATATTATATATTGAAAACTATATTCATTTATAGAAAAGCTCACATTTATTAAGAAAAGCCTATATTTTATATAGAAAAGCCTTTATATTTTGTATACTGAAAGTCTAATATAACAAACACTATTTACTTCTTACTGTACAAAATCTCTCAATTCAAAAACAATTACTGTATGTTTACATCATTACAGCTTACTTATGTGGACTCTCAAAAGTTACAAACCATGTGGTGTGTCCAACAGAGATAGCACCTCACAATCTCAGTCTAAGAGCGGCATGAGGTGAAGCAAGTGGTGTGAGCCTGCTCTGCAGCACAATACAGAGTGTCATAATATCTATTCATATTATAAATAAAATAATTATACAATAAAAAGCCAAAAGATACACAAGAAAAACAGAAAGGTATACAAGTCAAAGACATCTGACACTGACCATATTCTATTCCTTTAAAGGGATATAGTCGTTTAAATATTTGTCATTCAGATTTTCATTCAAAGATAGTTGAAATTGATCTTTTGCAACTAGTGAAAAAGTTCCAAAATACTTGCAATTTTTCACTAATTTTCAATGGGAAACTTTGCAATAAAGAGGTTACATCAAATAGAAACATTTTAGAAAGAAAATTTTAACAACCATACCCCTTCAATTGAGTTTAAAATGAATAAATTATCTCATACAGTAGATACTAATGTCTCGTAGAGGACCAATCTTCTTGATTCCTTTCTAGTATTAGAGAAATCGCTTTGCTCACGTCATCATTGCTTTTCTTCAGCACCTCCTTATTGAGTTCTCGATTACAGAATCCCATAGACATCAACTGTTCCATAGGGGGCTGTTCCAACCTTGCATTTTCAGATGTAGGTGGTTGGTAATTGTCAGGAGGTGGAGTCCATGTACTTTGGGGAGGTACATAGCTATCCTCTGGGGGTTGAAATGTATCTTCTGGAGGTGTCCAATCATTTTTAGGCATCTTGAACTCTTGTTTTGGAGGAACCCACCCCTTCTTGACTTTGATGTTTTGGGCAATTTGTTGTTGTTGTTGCGTTTGTTGTTGTCTTTCCAGCTGTAAAACAAAAACAGAGATCAGCAAGGTGCTAGCAATGGAAAGGTATGCCAACTCTGATGCTTTTTTCACTGTAAAACCACATCGCTTTACTAATCTTAAACAAAATGGTGATTCAGAAAAGGTGATTAGCAAATTAGTGCTTTTGATGGTTCAACTATACCCAACCTCAGCAATATAAATAAAGTTTTATTTTCTATTTGTGGAGTATGGAGTAAAGGACAGTTTGCAAGTGCAAGGGCATTAGCCTTCTCTGATGCAATTTATATCTGTCTAGGAATCTTATCATACATATCCTCAAGCCTTGCATTATTGTCTCATACATCTTCACAATGTCAAGCTATTACAGTCAGATGACTGAATCATTAAAATGATCTCAAGTAAATTTTTCCAGATTAAGGTCCAAGTTCTCTTAAGTAAGAAAGCAACTTTTTGTGTTGTCATCTCAAACTATGACACCAGCAGACAATATCTGAATATGTTACTAAAAATAACAAAGACCAACTCACATCTTTAGCTTGCCAAGTATGAATGACTTCCTTTACTTTGAAATAGGCATTAGATGCAGCATTAGCAGCTGTTGTTATGGCAACATCAAATAATTGTTTAGCAAATTCTTGTCTGAAAAACAAGAAAACAGATTCCAAACAGGGCAAAAAAAAATAGAAATAAAAATTGAGGTTTAAATCTTTCTAATTTGTATTGTCTTGACTTTTGGGGACAGAGTGTAGCTCAGTTGATTGGTGCATTGAAATCTTTGCTTTCTAATGATACATAAACAGTTGTCTTGGGTTCAATAACTGTTCAGCTAACAAGTGTATTGTCGACCCAGCTGTAAATGGTTATTGATAATCTAGACATGATCATTGCCACTAGGTTTGGGCAAGGACCCGCTGGGTAGAAGGTATTCCTGTGAAACTAGGCTCTTATCCTTTTAATATGGATGTTTACCAAGGACTAGCTGGTAGACAGGATCATCCAAACTCTAAGATGAACTTTTTCTGATCATTTCACATTACAGACACCCTACCCTCTTTCCAGAGTGCCCACATTCAGAGTTTTTATATCATTTGAAAACTTAAAAAGATCCAACTTACTGCTCTGCACTTCCACCAGCAGTGGCCGAGGCGTCTTGACCATTAACTTGAGAACACTCTACAGCTGGTTGAGAACCTCCATTAGCTACTTCAAGAACTTGGGTCTGATGCTCTGCTTCTGTTAATGGCCGTCCACTCGCAGCAGCATAACATGACGAATCTGAAATTAATTTCAAATATATTCTATTCTAATCAGCCGTTTTAAAAAAGAAACAACATTCAAGATTCCTGAAATTCAGTTTTGAACCTACTGAAAATTAGTTGGATGTACGGATTTGATATGAGAGAAAAGTCTTACCCATTTGTTGAGCTTCCATTGATTCACTACCTACAGCTCCGTCAGACGAGTTCTGTACAATAGTGGTCTGAGTCTCAACGCAACTGGCTTCCGATTGTGGAATCTCGTCACAGGTTACTGGCATCAAAATGGAGACATCTCGAGGAATTTCAAGAATAGTGTCAGGAACTATTTGTAAGGTTGATGGAACAGCCTCAACAATATTTAGGGTGTTAATGGTAACAGCCTGTACGTTTGGTACATCACGGGGAATTTCAAGGGCAGTAACTTCTGGAGTTAGGGGTCGTGCTTCATCTGATGTGGAGGCTTGAAGTAGATCATCCACGCTAGGTTGACATGACTGAACTTCATTTTGATTTTCATCTGAAAAAAGCAATATAAAAACATCATAAAAACAGCCCATATGATTTCATAGTTCCTTTCAATTGTCCCTTAGGGATACATGCTATTGAAAACAGTTTGAAATTAACAAAAAAGGGTAGGCCAATGCCACTTAAAAACTCTGTACAGACTGGCATTACTGCAATTAAACACTTGGCATTTGATAATGGACTTCTAGCCCTGTGATAGAAGAGTGATACATAGTGTACATACCAACATCTCCTGGTTGTAGAAGAGAGGAGCGGGTTAGTGGTTTACTGGTATCGAAACAGTCTGGTAGAGGAACCACGAAAAAATCATCTGAACTGCTGGAGTCACTGTCAGAATAACTTAATAGCGATTCTATATCATCTTCTACTGCATACCCTGTTCCTACAATAACAACATTCCTTACATTAAGAAGAATACTTGATTGTTAAGTCTAGTCTAACAATAATCATTTTCAGAAATTTACAAAAATTAATTTAAAAACAAAAAAATTTTCTACAAGGATTACAACTTAAGTTTACAAGGATCCTCTCTACCAGATGGTCTTTGGTTAAACCTCATGGCATTGATCTTTCCTGGATTATCTCTATCCTTTTACAGCTGGGTCGACTGGGTTGATGTGAAAAAGATGAATTTTTCAAGGACACCAGCCTTGCACACGCAGACCGAGATGAAAACCCACAACACTCACAACCCCCACATCCCTACTGTGTCTACTAAGTTAAAGATCCAACGTACCCTGTTTAAATTCCAAACTTTGAATTCTTTCATGAGGATATTCACCTAACAATGGTACACATTCATCTAAATCACCATTAACTAGTTCCATACTACTACTGGCTGATAGTACCGTTTCTAGTTTCGCTGTTGGAACTGGTGACTTGGGAGGACTGACATCTACAATTACAATCATCTCAGTGTCAAAATCATATGATTTCCTGCCTTTACATAAGGTTTTTTTTTTATTATTATCTTTCGACACTGCTATAAGGACCTTTGCATTAGTGACGTCATAAAAACGGTTACTTTAAGTGGAATTGCAAGAACCACAGTCCTCTGACTGAAAATTAGAATGATGCTTATAGTAGCCCAGATACACATAAAAATACAATTTACAATTCCTTTAAGTCGCTCAAGTTGGTTGCAAACATGAACTCTGAATACTAGCTCTCAATTTTTACCACTGATTGGGCTACAAAAAAATAAATTAACAACTGAATTTACTGAAATTTTACGAACCTAGAGGAGTGTTTGAAGGTGTTGCAGTCTGGGATTGCTTTGGTGGAGTCCTGTCTAAGAACTCAAACGACAACAGATTGTTTCCAACATTAGCAACTTGTGTTGTTCTGACCTCGGACACAGTCAATTTCTCCATGGCTGCTACAGCAGACGATAAATTCATTTCTACTTTATCATCTGTTTCTGTTACGTCAACATTTAAACTTTCAATCTTGGTACCGGAGTCAGTTGAATTGAGTTTATTCAGATCGTTGATGGGACTCGGCTGAGTGTCCACTATCTGTAAGATGTTACGTACTACTCCCTCCTTGGGTTCTTCCAATTCTTGTTCTTGAGCGTCATCAACTTGATCTAACATACTAGGGATCAAACGGTACAGTGGCATGGGTGACTGTGTTGTCATGGTAATTGTTTCAACATCTCTTTCCACTCTCTGTTCTTCTGGAGCCTGCAATCATACTGAATACTGAATACTTTTGAAACTGAAATCCTTACAATGGCTGGTTATTAAGTGGATGATCCTATCAAAATTCCAAACCGATTTTTGACAGATTTAGAATAAGATATCACATTTATGCACATAAGCCTTTCAAGTTTCTTCCAAACCTAGCTCATACAAAAAGCCAAGAAATGGACAGATAGAAATCCATCTGGCATTAATCTTTCCCAGATAATCTGCATTCATTTACAGATGGGTTTAAAGAAACTATGAGTGAAGATAACCACAACCACCATTGGTTCTACGTTTACGTTACCAAGCAAATGACGTCATGTAAAGAAACAACACTCTTATCGATTGTGCTACTGAGCTCCATAAACAGGGGCAATAACAATATACGCCGACATGAAAATGAAAATAATCTTTTTTATGAAGAGATATGAATTTCTATACCCTTATTTTATCATATTGTCCTATCACCGAGTCCAATTCTTACCTCAGCAGCTTTAGAAACTTCCTTATCCTCTTCCTCAGTTTTTACTTCTACTACTCTCAATGGTTCCACTGGTTTCGGTTCCAGGATTTCTCTTGGTACCACATTTATCATGACCCAAACTCTGTGACCAAATGCTATCCCCTTATCAAATAACTTCCAGTGACTTTGGTACCGACCTGCAGGAATAATATTTTATTTAGTTACTTTAAGGACATGGAAATATATCCAACTTTTTGACTGAGCTACTGAAGACAGGCTACATCTAAAAGTGTGCAATGTGCACAATTTTACAAAAATAAGTTTATTTTAAACTCATGTCAAATTAAATTACATTCTACAGCCTCTACATAGGGTTAATGAATGGACAATGTCATGCAACATGTAAAGAGGGAAAAGGGAAATAATGCCAAGACATGAGTTTTAAATGTTGAGGAGGAAAGACACCCAGAATGAATGTTATCCTGAATGAATGAATGAATGTTATCCTGAATGAATGACATCCTTAATAAATGAATGACACCCTGAATGAGTGAATATCTTGAATGAATGAATGTCATCTTGAATGAATAAATGAATGAATGACACCCTGAATGAATGGTCAAGAGATTAAGGGCAGTAACTTAAACAGATACTAACCTGGTAATTCAGGCGCCAGTAGTTCTGCTGTGACGTCTCCTTCTTCTCCTGGTTTTAAACAAGGTACTGAAACTTCTGTCTTGATAGCTGGGATAGTACCATACATTAGACGTAACTGCAAAGATAAAATTGATGTCAGTCAAGAGGCCCTTTTTCTTCATCTTGAAGATATCATCTTTACCTACACTGGGATTGAGTTTAGCCTCTAACACACTGACCAACTGCTGAATTTAAGAAAAGCAGAAGTAAAATATTTACCCGTGTGGTCTCTCTCCAAATACAGGTTCCAGTATTCAACAACCGCCATGTTTTCTGCATCTTGGTTCCTGGTTGAACTGTGGTACCATCTGGTATGGTGATATCTCTAACGAACGCTGCTCCCAGTGTTAGATACCTGAAAATTAAAACCAATCACTATATCATGCTGTATCCTTGTCACTAAAGATGAATTTACAGTTTCCCCATTGTACACTACATGAGTATCAGCAGGTTAACTTTGAAATGCAGATCATGCTGACTTGTTTTGTATTTTGGTGGCGAATCTTTGATTTCTTGAAAGTCTTAGATCATATGTTGCACAATATTAGTGTCAGATTATGGATTGCAATAATAAATAATATCAATAAAAAATAATAAAGAAAATTAATAAATGATAAATAATAAATAATAATAACAATAAATGATAATAATAATTATAAATGATAAATAATAATAAAATATAATATTAATAAATAATAATTCAAATTTTCAGTCAGACCAGGGTTGTAGCTACACTTTCATTTTCCATCAATGATAAAAGCAACATGGCCAAGCATGCTTACATGAGATATGATATTGATAGCTTTGTTCGCTTCGCCATTTTGAGTCACAAATATTTTCTAGCTACAGTCCTGAGTCAGAAGTCTGTGATCCCTGCAATTTCAATAAAACTAAGCATTTGATGACGTCACTATCAAAAAAATCTGATATCATATAAGGCACTTTGAGATAATGGTGTCAGAAAAATACTTAATATTGTGAAATTGCAGGAAAAAAAAGCCCGGAAAGGCAAAGCAAAACCAGAAAATGGTAAAACTTACTCTTTATTGCAGAATTTGATATGATGAAGTAATGGAGAATGGTTCAGTTCATATCGTTCTCGCTTCTTAGGTGAATCTTTCAACCCTTCATATTTCTCCAACTTTCTTTTTAATTTTTCTTCTTTTCTTTTTTCTTTTTCAAACATTTTCTCCACTTTTTTCTTCATCTTTTCTT